GGTATGTTTCTAACTCTACCGTTTGAGGTAAGTCAGCTTGAGCATGTCCCGAATTGCACATCTCTTCCCTCTCTTATTCCCACTCTTACATTTAACAGTGATCACTTTTCAGTTAAGTTTCAGCACTTAAGAAGAATTGTGTATTGATTACAGTATTCAACCAAAGGTATTAAGTAGAACAAACAAAAAAAAAATACTAAGAGGGATAACATATCAAATTGCTCATCAACAGTCAGGGTGAGGGCTGATCAAGTCACCATTTCTCACAGTGTTCATTTCACTCTAATAGGTTTCCTTTTTGGTGCTCAGTTAGTTGTCACCTATCAAGGAGAACAAGTGGTATTTGTCCCTTTGGGATTGGCTTATTACACTCAGCATAATGTTTTCCAAATTCCTAACAGGGATCACTTTTCAGTTAAAATTTAAACACCTAAGAATAATTGTCTGTTAATTACAGAGTTCAACCAATGGTACTAGAACAAAAAAAATACTAAAATGCATAAAGTATTACATTGTACATCAACCGTCAGGACAAGAGCTGATCAAGTCACTGTTTCTCATAGTGTCCATTTCATTTCAACAAGTTTCCCCCTTGGTGCTCAGTTAGTAGTCGCCGATCAGGGAGAACATATGATATTTGTCCCTTTGGGACTGGCTCAATTCACTCAGCATGATGTTTGTCTAAATATGATCAGAGTCAGTGAACTCAGGGGGCTTCCATAGCCTTGGCAGCTCATGAAAAGAGCCTAGGGTGATTACTGAGGCCATAAACAAGAGTGTCAATTTGTTAAGTCAACAACAGGAGTCACTGTGCACTTGCTCCTCATGTAGGATCTTTGTCCTTAGTGTGCTGTACATTGAGATTTAATGCTATAACTAGTACTCAAACAGTATTTTTCACTTTATGTTTCTGTGTGGGAGCAAACTGTTGAAATCTTTACTTAATGTATGCTAAACTGATCTTCTGTATATAAAGAGAAACAAAAATGAATCTTGATGTGAATGGAAGGGGAGAGGGAGTGGGAAAGGGGAGGGTTGTGGGTGGGAGGGACGTTATTGGGGGGGAAGCCATTGTAATCCATAAGCTGTACTTTGGAAATTTATATTCATTAAATAAAAGTTTGAAAGAAAAAAAAAAAGTAAAAAAAAGAAATGGAAATCACAGGAGCTCTTGATTAAAAAACCATTTAGTCCTTTCAGGAAAGGCAATGAGTTCAATTAAAGCCACAGCTGCTGAGATAGAGAAAAAAATACACCTTAAAAATCTACTTTATCTTCATCTAGTTTTTAAAAATCAAGTTCCTTCTTAATTCTGTCTCCCTCCAGCTTTTTTTTTTTTTCGATTTAGAATGAAATTTCTGAGCTCCTAGATGTTCATCATCATGGGGTCAATGCAAGCTGTGAAACGTATCTCTTCCCTTTTTTGCTACATAAAGACAAGGTCCACATTTGAAACTTGAAAAGAAAATAAATCTTAACTGTGAACATTATCTTTCAACCAGAACTGACCTTGCTTTCTTCCTCTGTTTCTGAATATCTCACCTGAGCAATCTTTTCTTTTAACATCAAGAAATTGCTGAAGGAAGAAACGTTAGATTTAGTTTTTAATTAACTTTGCCATTGATTTCCACATAACTCTGTATGAGTCACTGTTCTTTAGTGAATGGGATGAAAATCTTAAAGATTAATGGTTGTTCCCAGGGGTTTTTCTTGACCAGGTTCCAGAGACTCTGCTATTTCTTTTTCTTCTGTGAACTCATCCACTTACTCTGTTCTTCACCTTAAAACACATAGGCACACTCAGGAATATGAGCACGTGCATATGTATCAACTATGGTTTCAGGATGAAAGTATCAAGGAGAAAAGCTGGTGATTATGCCCTGCTCTTAGTAGGTTTTAAAAGTTTTGCTATTTCACAATTTTTCTATTCTTCAGTTTTTCTTAGTACAATATGTATTTTAACAAAATTGGTCATGACAAGCATTATAAGCCCGGGATGAAAATTGAGTTATCAATAAATAAAGAAGAAAGATGTTAGTGTACCTTAAAATATTTTGTCATACTGAAAGACAATATATTTTAGATATTAGAAGTTGTTTTACTGTACTTTGTTTCCCATAAATTATTGTAATTGTATGTGAAGAAAAAGAGTAATTCTTCTTGAAATTTAAGAAAAATTTTTAAAATGAGAAAAAATATTATAAAATGTAAAATATAATGACTTGCATATAATTTTTAGTGAAGTAAATACACTTTGCATTTTCTCCTTCTGATATTTTATCAGTTCAGACCACTTTGAGCTAGCTATTCATTATATTTCTTTCTTTCTTTTTTTTTTTTTTTTTTGACAGGCAGAGTGGATAGTGAGAGAGAGAGAGAGAGAGAGAAAGGTCTTCCTTTTGCCGTTGGTTCACCCTCCAATGGCCGCCACGGCCAGTGCGCTGTGGCTGGCGCACCGCGCTGATCTGAAGGCAGGAGCCAGGTGCTTCTGCTGGTCTCCCATGGGGTGCAGGGCCCAAGCACTTGGGCCATCCTTCACTGCCTTCCCAGGCCACAGCAGAGAGCTGGCCTGGAAGAGGGGCAACCGGGAAAGAATCCAGCGCCCCGACAGGGACTAGAACCCTGTGTGCTGGCGCCACTAGGTGGAGGATTAGCCTATTGAGCCGCGGTGCCGGCCCATTATATTTCTATCTACTAGTTTTAATGTAAACAACATAATGCATTAGTTTTTTAAAAAATATATTTATTTTATTTATTTGAAGGGCAGAGTTACAGAGAAAAAGGAAGACACACACACACACACACACACAGATATCTTCCATCTGCTTGCTCCTTCCCCAAATAGCCACAACAGGCAGAGCTGGGCGGATCCAAAGCCAGGAGCCCAGAGCTTATTCTGGGTCTCCCACATGGGTATAGGGGCTCAAGTACTTGGGCCATCTTCCAGTGTTTTCCGAGGCAATATTTTTTGTCTTTTTTTTTTTTTTTTTAAGTTTGATTTAGTTCATTGAACGCCAAGGTGACAGAGAGAGAGAGAGAGAGAGAGAGCGAGCTTTCCTTGGCTGGTTCACTCCACAAATGGCCACAATGGCTGGGGCTGGACCAAGCCAAAGTCATGAGCTTAGTGCCACATGAGTGTTAGGACACAAATACTAGGATCGTCATCTGTTGTCTTCCCAGGTGCATTAGCTGGGCACCTGATCATAAGCACAGTATGGCCAGGATTATAACCAACACTCCATTATGGGATGCTGGTGTTGCAGGCGGAAGCTTAACCTGCTGTACCACAGTGCTGGCCCCTGAAAGAGCCTTCTGATGAGCCACTCTCTCTCTTTCCAGTCTTTCCTTCAATTCTCTCTGCCTCAGCCCTGGGGATTGCTACCTGTCATGCTCATTGCTCCTCTGCACTTTAAATTTAGCTGCATCAAATTCATTTTCCTTCAAATATTGTGACTGTCTTCTCTCATTTCAATGGCCCCCAATACGCTGCTTTCTTAGATTGGAACACTTGTCTGCCCCATCTTACGTACCTCCTTTCTTGACTATGTCTGTGTCATCTTGCAGAGTCCTCCCCCCCCCCCCCCCCGCCCCAGTTAAATGCTTCTGCATGCTGCCCCAGCTACTGACTTCCACTGAGGAATTTCTGATTCTTCTTTGAGTAATGGCCTGAATTTCTTCTTCATTTCGTAATAAACAATGGGAGGTCAGTGACCATACCTCTTCACCTGTGGAGAATGTGGTGCCAAGAATGCAGCAGATACTGAATTTTGGAACTTATTTTTACTTGTTAATATCCTTTTTATGGTATACTCAATGTTCCAGGTACTGTTTAAACCACTTAGAAAATTTGGTTTTAGAACAGTGATGTATTCCTCTGTGATGATAACCAGGTACTTAGTATAAACTAAAGATAATTTTTAACTTGGCCCCCAGTGATGGTGTTTGTATAACAGTTAAGAATATCCTTCGAAGTAACAAACTCAACCACTGAAGAGAGTCACTGGCAACAAGTACAGAGGAACAAATCAAGACTCAAACTTTTTCTGGAAAAAAAAACCCTGTTGTTTATTATTATTTAGAAAGCACACACAACAATTTATTGAGGCAAAAGAGAAAATGCAAAATAAGTGAGCATACAAATTCATTTCAAAAAGAACTGATGTCACCTCCCACGTAGTATCTATGTGAACTTTTAAAATTTCGTATTTCTTATATCTGTATACATAATCAGATTATGGATATAGATATATGGAAACACATCATACACTCAAAGAAATCTTCTCTCCAAAAATATTTGGTGAGCACATCCACTTTCTTCCCCTAAATTTTCAACAATATTTTCTCAGTTCATGCCACTGTCTCTTTTCTCTGAGTTCGTCTCTGATGACAAGTAAGGATACTTGTGAAGGAAGATTTCCCCTTAGTTCTTGACTTTTTCTTTAATTTTTTCTGATTTTTGAGTGAGATTCCAAGTTCTTCCATGATGGCATTGAAAGAGAGACACTAGAGGACATGAAATAAGACAGCATCAGCTTAACCGAGCCTGTGTCCCTCCTGCCATTGACCTGTCACTGCTGGGGTCTTAGGAACACAACACGATGGTCTCAGGGAAATTCTGCCATAACCAATTGGCTCCCATCACTTCCTCCTCCACCCACTGGCCACCCACTTTTTCTACTTGGGCAAGCGGTGGGATTTCATTCACAAATGCACAGTATAAAACGACCCAGTTAGAAAAAAAAGAAAACAAAAAACCAAGACTCTCAAAATAGAAAACTTACCTTTGCTGAGACACCAAAATAGAGTTAAATTAAGTCATTGCCCCCATTGAGATGATCCAAACATTGATAGGTTTATCAAGGCATACGGACACTTCAGTAATGCTATAGAAAATGAACAAACCTTCTCTACACCAAGGCTTTGTTTTTTTCTCCCATGAAACCTTACTTTGTTCCTAAAATAAAATCTAATTCTTGATGACTTTCCTTTCTGATAAAAAAAAAGAAAAAAAACAATTTTAAATTGTATATTTTCTCCAAAAAAAAAAACAGAGATTCTGGCAGCAGCAATGATGCAGCTGTGGTTGAAATGAAAAATAATGTGGTAGTGAACTACACAGCAAAGTTGATGCAATATAACAAAAGAAAATGGCATTATGATTATAAAATGCTATGCATATGCAGATGATATATATGAGTATATATATATGCATATCCACTACAGTTACACTATGTCTGTTCACATGCACAGTATATAAATGACCAAATAAAACATAATTTGCTGTAATTTCTTTTAGATCTTTGAGTGATAGATTCAATCTTATATGGGGTTCTATAAAGCAGTTATTTAATGAGGTTACTATTAACCCATCTTTTAGTGAGAAATCCAAGTACAAAACTACAAAGAGCTCATGATTCTATTTATATGAAGTATTTAACATAGTCAAACTCACAGGAGCAGAGAGTGAGCTGTGTCTCACTAGAGGTTAGAAGGAGGGGACAATGGGTACAGTTGCTATTCACTGGGTATAAAAGTTTCAGTTATGCAGGATGAATGAATTCTAGACATAAGCTGTACAACATCGTACCTAGAGTTAATAGCAGTATATTGTTATAGGATTAAAATTTGTTAAGTGGGTAGCTCTCAAGTGTTATTCCTACCATAAAAAAAATCTTCCAAAAACTCGAGACCTTTAGTAAAGCTTATGGGAGTGCAAATATCGCTTCTGTCCCTTTAGCTCACAAAATGGATATGGCTAAAAGTCAAATGACAAAATGAAATTAGTTGATTTCTCTAAGGTTGGGAATGCCTTAAAAGAAGAAATTGGCGTCCTGTGTTTGCAAAGTACTCACTGTCTAGTGTGATTCTTGCATATCCCTGTGCATCATGTATTTTGGAAAATTTACAATTTAAGGAGTGGACATTGGCCAAGCAGTTAAGATGTCTGTATCTCATATCAGAGTGTTTGTGTTCAAGTCCCAGCTCTAGCTATTGACTCAAGTCTCCCGCTAATGCAGACCAGTGGGAGGCAGCAGTGATGGTTCAGGTAATTGGGTTCCTACCACCCACATTGGAAACCTAGATTATGTTCCTAGCTTGTGATTCCAGTGCCAGCCCAGCCCCAGCCATTGCAGGCATTTGGGGAGTGAACCAGCACTTGGATGATCTCTCCACGTCCACCTTCCACCACCCCCACCTCCCAGATTAAAAAAAAAATGAAAGTTTACATTCACTTTGTTTCAAAAAGGACTTGATACTGGTTTAGATAAGTAGTAATTTTAAAAATTTTCTACTGAATTGAAAATCAGATGTAGAAATTTAGGTTCTGGATATCAACTTTTTGGCTACCAGAGAAAAAACAAGTTGTTTGTATGCCACTTGTATGAAATTTTTTGCTCTTTTAACATGATTTAATTTCATTTCCACTTCTCTATGCTACGAAAACAATGAAAATCCAGACCTTACATGTTAATTTTATTTCAAGTGGTAAGCTGTGGCTTCAGTAAATTTAGAGATGTCATGCCACACAAAGAAAAAATTCCAAAGTGTTTTCTTATGAATTACACATCAAAAAATGTTGCAGCAAGTATACCGCAAATGAATCATAATTTTTTAAAAATATTTTCCATGTAAGGTTTATATATGTTGCAAATAAGATCCAATGGTCATTTTATACTGTCATTCTGATAGATAATGCTGTATTAGGACTTTGGGAACTCTGCTGAGAAATTTCTTTCAGTGGAAGAAGGTTTGTTAGCACAAGGCATTTCTGGTTTTAGGAAGATCAATAAAATGGAAGGAGGCAATGAAGGAAAGGGAATATCAGGAGATTTACAAACACTTGATATATAAACCTTATTTGTAAGTTTATAAAGGAGTTATACTCTTCATATAGATGGAGAAATTTACTATTAGAGATATTAAATAACTTAAGAGGAAAATCCTTTATTTAATTATTTGTTACAATTTTTAGAGATTTATTTATTAATTACAGAGAGAGAGGCAGACACACACACACACACACACACACAGATATCTTCCATCTGCTAGTTCACTACCCAGATGACTGCAACAGCCAGCACCGGCCAGGCTGAAGCCAGAAGCCAGAAGCCAGGAGCTTCATCCAGTCTTCCATGTGAGTGCCAGGGGCTCAAACAGTTCAGCATCCTCCACTGCTTCTCCCAGACCATTAGCAAGGAGCTAGATCATCAGTGGAGCAGCCAGGACAAGAACCAGCATCTGTATGAGATGCTGACATCGCAGGTGGTGGCTTTACCTGCTACACCACAGCACTGGCCCCAGGAAACTCTCTATTTGAACTCAGTCCATTTGGACTGCCAAAAACCAATTGCTTTCCCTGGAAATTGTCTAGCTACATCTTGATTCTTATTTTTTATCACAATAGATAGCTTTGTGAATTGTTTTCCCATAAAAATATAAGTTGAGATGTTCCAATCTTTCTGTTTCATTTGAGCTCCCAAGTATTTCATTTTAGACCTCTCATTTCATTTTACACTGAAACAGCTAAAATCAATCTCCAGGTGTGGCTTCCATAAAAGATACAATGAGGAAAAGACGCATTGAAACCTCCTTTTCCGATTTTTGGTAGAGAGACAGTCATAGATCCTATCATATTAATACGGCTAAAATGTTTACAATTTTTCTTTAAAAAAGAAATCCTTCCCCCAAAGTTTAGACTTCTCTGTTACTACAAACATCAGATTCTTTAGATTACCCCAAATATTTATTTATTGCTGCTTGTGTGAGGGTGAATACAACCACGTTATTTTTGGTGGTCTGATTTCTCTGTCTTTGGTCACAATGATTTCTTTTTGAGTCTCATTTTGTCTCCAACTGTCAAAAAGAAAATGGCAAGATATTGGGGCTGACCTTTCTGTTTTTTCAAGTTTTGCTGTAGTCACAAAGAAAGATGACCTTTAAGGTCCCTTGGCCATGAGTCCAAATAAACCACACATTCTCATATCCACAGGAAATGAAAGTATGAAGGTCATCTCTCAGTCCAGAGTGGCATGGGAGGGGCTCATATTCATTAACTAATTTTTCTTTTATAATCTCAGTATTCATGCACATGTATAAAGTTTGACTTTGTAAATCAGAATCAAAATTAAGTAGTTTCTCAAGCTTCTTTTTCTGGGCTTGGGCTTTTATGAACTCCTTTATTTTCATAAAGCCATAAGATCATTATTATTATTATTATTATTATTATTTGACAGGCAGAGTGGACAGTGAGAGAGAAAGACAGAGAGAAAGGTCTTCCTTTGCCATTGGTTCACCCTCCAATGGCCGCCGTGGCTGGTGCACCGCGCTGATCCGATGGCAGGAGCCAGGTGCTTCTCCTGGTCTCCCATGGGGTGCAGGGCCCAAGTACTTGAGCCATCCTCCACTGCACTCCCTGGCCACAGCAGAGAGCTGGCCTGGAAGAGGGGCAACCGGGACAGAATCCGGCGCCCTGACCGGGACTAGAACCTGGTGTGCTGGCGCCACAAGGTGGAGAATTAGCCTAGTGAGCCGCGGCGCTGGCCTATTTTTAAACATCAGAGTTGAAATCTGTCATCCCTAAGTACATTCATCTAACTCCTTCCTTCAACAGGCGGCAGAAGCAAAGGAATGCTACCAGTAACACTGTCTGGGGTTTCAGGGACTGGAAATTCCTTGGCTAGCCTGGATTCTAGGTCCTGCTACTTATCTCTAGTGGGCAGAGCTCATATTTTAATGGATCTAATTGTGGCCACTAATTATTCCTTGGAATTGGCCCCTGGCATCAGAGTGCTGTAGTTAAAAGTTCTATTGTGTTCCTTATTATCTGTGTTGGACTGGGTGAGGTCTTATCTTTTTTTTTTTTCTTTAAGATTTATTTATTTATTTGAAAGTCAGAGTTATAGAGAAGGAGGGTAGAGGCATAGAGAGAGAGAGAGAGTGAGGGAGAGAAAGAGAGAGAGAGAGGTCTTCCTTCTGCTGGTTCACTCCCCAAATGACTGCCATGGCTGTGGCTGGGCCAAGCCAAAACCAGGAGCCAGGAGCTTCATCCAGGTCTCCCACATGGGTACAGGGGCCCAAAGGCTTGGGCCATCTTCTGCTGCTTTCCCAGGATTATTAGCAGGGAACTGGATCAGAACTGGAGCAACTGGGACTCAAACCAACACCCATATGGAATGCCAGCACTGCAAGCGGTGGCTTTCTCTACTTATCCAGAGTCCCTATTTTCTCTTTGACTCAATTTCCTAAAATATAAAATGGGCAAGTTGTAGAACCCTTTTCCTAGAGTGATTATGAGAATTCGATGAGCTGATATATATAAAATATGCAGCTCAATACTTGGCAAAGTATAATTATGCTTTTTATTCAAAATAAGATTTTATACATCACAGTGAAAATATTTAACTCTGTGGCATTCACTGATTTTTCTTTTTTTTTTTCTTTCTTTTTTTTTTTTTTTTTGACAGGCAGAGTTAGACAGTGAGAGAGAGAGAGAGATACAGAGAGAAAGGTCTTCCTTTCTGTTGGTTCACCCTCTAAGTGCACCACGCTGATCCGAAGACAGGAGCCAGGTACTTATCCTGGTCTCCCATGGGGTGCAGGGCCCAAGCACTTGGGCCATCCTCCACTGCACTCCCGGGCCACAGCAGAGAGCTGGCCTGGAAGAGGAGCAACCGGGACAGAATCCGGTGCCCCAACCGAGACTAGAACCCGGGTGCCGGCGCTGCAGGCGGAGGATTAGCCAAGTGAGCTGCAGTGAGGCCCAGCACTCACTGATTTTATTTCATGAATTTGCTCTACTTAACAATTTCTGTGTTGTTTATACCAGTGTTTCAGTTAAAATCATAAAATTTCAACACCTGCTATTACTTGTTTTGGCCAATCCATAACACATTTCGAAGTTTAATGAATAGCAGGCATTATGACAGCTTGTGTGATGCTTATGAAGGATAGGTGCTCAAACATGAGAAGGAAATAAAAGCTAACTTTGATCCTATTGTCATTTAAAAAATAACATCTCTGTTTATGAACCTGTTTTAAAGAATCCCTGCGATGATGTGTGATGGGAAATTCACAAACATACGGATTTACAGGAATAATGTATAATAGTATCATTTATACTGCTCCTGACACAGCCAAAAGTGGGGTGTGTGTGTGTGTGTGTGTGTGAACATGTGTGTGAGTCTGTGTGAGAGACTTTTCTGTTACAGGAATGGAAATTAAGAAATGGAAGCGAGCTGCAGAGACTGCACCTGGAACTTCCACTAGAACTGCACCCCTCCCCCTCCAGGAAGAGAAATTTTCTTGTTCGCCTGGGTTTTGCAGAAAGTCATTTCCTTTGGCTTCTTCCAGGCACGTGCTGTGTCCCTCATGGGTTCCTTTTCCTTACCTTCTGCCTCCTTTTGCTTTCTTTCACCCTCCCCTTTGGCTTCTCTTTCTAACTGTTGACTGCACCTCCTTTGGATTAACCCCAGATATGTGATTTCTTGTTATTAGCTTGAGCCTGAATATAAATTATATCTTCTCTCCTTATCTTCTTGTTGCAACTGTTACCCTAGAAGTGGTGGAAGGTCCAATAATGTTCTTTCTATTTTGTACCTAAATATGTAGTCTCAGAAGTTAATGGTCCAGGAGAAGAGAACTTAAAAAAAAGTTACAGGGGAGGGAGAGAGGTTATCTGTTTAGAATTGTATCTATGAAATATATGATATCTGTTCACTTTATATTAATACAAAATTTTTTAAAAAGTTGAAGGGAAAATTCTGCTACAATTTGACCTGATTTTTCAGTCGCTAAAAAATTAATATTTCTGAGGTTGGGTTTCTTACTGCTTGCAAACTTGGCATCAGATTGTGAATGCCAAATTGATATCTTACTGTCAATTTCTCATGACTGCATTCAGTTACTCCATTCACTGGTGCATTTAGGTGAACATTTTGAAGAACTGCTTTGGGTACAGGTACCTTTAAGAAATTTCCTTACTGCTTTCAAGAAGTTCTGTCCTAGCCAATAATCTAATATGAAACTTACATTTTGTGTAGGTTTCTCCTTTAATTTGCCAGACTCCTGTTCAAAGACATTTGAAGCACTCTGTGACATTGTCTAATAAATTTTCATATTACTTATGAAAGAGATGAATGCATGCAATACTGTCATCATTTTATAGATGTAAGATCCGTTATTTCATGTAAGACCACTTATAATTTGAAAGTAAGCTATGATTTGAAGCCTTTGGAAGACCATTTTCAGTAAAATATAGAATATCAAGGGAATAGATTTATGAGAAATAATGGGATTATTACTACTATTATTATTATTTTCTTGGTTTGGTTAAATTATTGCCATAATTCCATGGAATCAGTGTCTCAAAGATTTTTTTTAACTAAACACTAATATCTTCAACATTTTTTAGCTTCAAAATGTAATGTGGGAATAAATCTACATGTTTTGGGCCTACAGTCAGGAAACATTAAGGAATAATGGAAGAAAAATTTTATTCATATGAGACTTTGGTGTCATTTAACTGCACCCAGAATTTGCTTCTTCATGGTATAATTGATGATCTGAAGTTCAGCTCAGGTTTCAATCATTCCACACCAATTATGGGAAGGTCCCTTGAGGAAGATTCTTGGAATATTTATATGTGCACTATTTTTGTGTAAAGTTCTTGCATTCTAGAACTAGGATTGGGCATCATTTGCTCTGGTTTTTCTGGGTTTATACAGTATCCATAGGCCATCTGTCATGCCCCTATCCTTGGAATTTTTAAGAACTGGATCATACACATTGAGTATGAATATACATTTTATTAACTTCCAGAATAGTATTTATTTTGATTTGTATCTGGGCACTAATAGGGGAGCTGAAATTCATCACTGGTGTCTCTGCCAAGAACCTTGGGATGGAGGAAATCTAAACACTGAGATAAAACTTCCCAGGGTGTTCATGCACTCATATCCCAACCTCTGATTCACAGCCCCTACTGGATCACCTCATTTCCCTGTACCTCCAAGGCTTTAAACCCAATAGGTAAGCCTACATGAAAGCTTTTATCTTCCCTTCCTTTGGCTGTAACCTGTAGAGTCGTCTGGCTCATTTTTCTAGCTCTTTTAATGTCATATTTTCACCACTTTAGTGTCATCTCTTCTCCCTATTTCATTTTTTTTCCCATCCCTGGGATCTAGTGTCAACAGTTTCACCTTCTCAGATGCTAGATTTAAGTTTTTCTATTTGCATGAATGCATATGCTAGAATTCCTTGTTCCCTTATTTGAATTCTTCAAACCATAAAAAATTACCTATGGGGGCCACAATATTGCTTGATGATATGGGATATACAAAGATTCCCTTTCTGATTCACTTTTATTTAGAGATTTCTTTTAGAAACCTGTTTGCCTATTAAGATAAATGTATTATGGAATGGCATGCATCGTCCATGTTGATTTTGATTTTCATTTTTCCAAGAATTCTTAAAAGAAATTATTCACATGGGGTAGCTGTCCAGTGGTGTCCAACCCAAAATCTCAAGGGGGAGGGGACTGTAGTCTCATTCTCTTCTAACATTAAGGATAATTTCATGGAAAGCTTTGAAAAATGGGACTCACATTGAGACACCTAAACATTTTGATATTGATCCATATGTTCTCTTCCAATTCTAAATTCCAACCTTTGCCCCACTTGTAAAGTTGCAGTGAGGGCTTTATATGCATTGCCCTCAAGGTTGGGATGCTATAGGAAGAAAAAAGAAGAATCAAATTTGAAGCTTTGAACTCTTAAATAGCCTTTTGTGGATCTACAGAAGACATCTCAGTCTTTGAAGCTATTAATTATATAGCCAGGTATTTGAAAGAAGGAAAAAGCTGGTGCTTTGAATTCTGCAAGTTTGACATTAAATATCAAATATAGACCTTTGAGAACACAGACTACAGGGTTCATTATAGAGTGAAGATAGAATTGATGTGTGTCTTCTACCAAGGAGGAAAGTCCAACCATGTGAGAACCACAGCTTTATCCAAATGCTGTGAGCACCCAAGAATTGCCCTCTCATCTGTCATTTAGGTCCTGTTAGGGTCACATTCCTTGGGATAAAACAGCCTGATAGATGGAGGAAGGAAGGCAGAGAACACAGAGAAATCCTATCGCCGTTCTGTCTTAATCTCTCAGAGAAGGCAGTGACTCCTGAAGAGAAATGTCATCAGGGCCTATCCTCAGGCCAGGCCAAGACTGTCTATTGAGTCTCTCAGAGCTTCTCAATCTCACTGCAGGGCAGCTGAAACTCCTCCGTGCTCCAGAACAAACACAAATATGGCAGATGGGTTTGAAGAGGGGGACGCAAAGTGGTCTGCCCAAGTAGGTCAGATATTTCTGCAATGAGGATAACTGTCAGTTGAGCCAGAGGAAAGCAAATTTCTTGGCTAACAAATGGCAGGAATATGAATTTCAATTCAAAACTCCCATAGTGCTTTTGTATTTTCTGGAGTTACTGTCAGGGGCCAGTGTGACTTTGTCCCTGGTCCTCTTATTTATCTCTGATGTCCTGCACTGAAGCCCTGAGATTATTCTGTAAGGATTGTCTTCCCTTGTCTTTATTATGACAAGGACCTACTCCAATTTAGCAGCTCAGAGGGTAAGCAGGGCCATAAAAATAGCTTCCCATAAATTTGTAGTCTGCCCCTTGTCCTAAAGGGAATGTTCCTTACCTCCAGGTAAATTAAGCCTGATGTAGAGTTTTAGTTGTCCATAAGGCATGTAGTGTACTTGGTACACTAGGGACAACTAATATAGAGAGTCCTTGGGGGAAGTCGTGCTTCTTCTCTAAATAACTGAACTCAACTCAGATGTCCCCTCCTCTGCTTGTAGATCTTGTAAACTCAAGAATATTCAATTTTGGTTTAAAATATTGTCTTTTGGCTGGCTAATGACTACTTTAACATTGTTCTCTCCTCTACCTTACTTGTTCTTTTCTTTCTGAGGGCAATATAGGATGAGGAAAGGTTCCAGAGGTCCCAGTGAAGTAGGCGGGCATACAGGTTAAAATTTATGAGGTTTGTGAGCTGGAAGACCATGCCTTTACCACGCCCCTGTGTGACCTCATGCCCTTACCTGGTCACACTGAGTGTTCACCGGACAATCAGGTTAATTGACCACTCCCCTTTGAAAGTGGATTAAAAGCCTGGGACACGGTGTGTCCACACTTTTTCCTTTCCCTGGCCTCTTGCCAGTACGGGGCTGGCTGCAGCATTGTGCTTCCAGGGTGCGTGGCCTTCAGGCCACCTTGCCCCATGCTTGCTGGCCTAGATGCTCCTCCATGTGGCTGGTTCCTGGTACTCAGTATGAACCTAGATCTACCTCTCTTTCATAGATAAAGCTCTCACTCTCCTATGCATCTTTTGCACTGAATAAAAGCTTAAAAATGAACCATGCTGCCTCGGTCATTTATGCTGGTATTCAGAATTCTCTAAATATTAGGCAAGAACCCACATGGGCTTATTAATATTAGGAATTTATTAATAAGCATATGGTGATATCATATGGCACCCCAAATTCCTGTATCATATTTGGCACCGCAGATGGGACTTTTGGGGAACTTTAAGGGGCCACATTCTGTGTATTTTAGGGGGCCAAATTCCGATATCACCAGGAGTACTGGTCCATGGCTACTATCTATCTTTGGCTTCCACTGGGATATGAGATCCTACCAGATCATAGACCCTGGTCTTTGTCTCTGCTGTGTCCCTTGAGATGCCCAAGGTCCCACCATTGCCATGTGAAGTCCATATACTGTTTTTTGCCTCCAACCTCTAGTATTCCAGATTATTGATTCTCTCAGCCCTTCCACAAGGCTTTTAGGTGGGAAAAGCTGTGGATTTGGATTTCTGTGTTTTTCCTGGCATTCTCTGGGATTCAGGAAGATCCTGTGAAGTTTTCCCAGGCTACTACTTAGATACTTTTATTTTGTCATTCAGTAGACACTTGGGTGTAAGACTTCTCTCCAAGTCTTGATACCTCCTGGGCTACATTCTGTGGAGCAAGGACATCTATTTTCCTTTATCTTTCTTTGGAATGGACTCAGGGATGGTCATTAGGCTTCTTTTAAGGACTCAGGTAACATGTAATCATTTATGACTTGCCCCCAGTTGTCTTTTTTAATAGTAATTAAAAAATTTGGTCTGGGGTCGGAAAAGAAGGTAAGAAAATAAATCATCTGTATTTTCCCAAGTTTAACAAGCTGGGTTATGGCTATTGCTAATTATAGATAAATTTTTTGAATTAAACAACTAACCAACTCAATACAACATCTGGATCTTACCATTGAAACCATGGTTTTCAAGATTTCTATCTGTCTGAAAAATTGGCAAAGATGACATATAATTCAAAAGTTGAGTGTTAACTCACTTTTAGCCTGGAGGTGGTTTGTAGAAAAATGCAGTGCCTGATGATAGGGAGAAAGGCAGGGTTAAAAAAAAAATAGTGGAAAATAAGTGCATGTTGTTCTTTCCCTTTGTTTCTCCTGTCTATGTTAAGCAGAATTGCTTCAGCTCCATTTACAGAATGGAGTTTTGTTTTCTGCTCCAGCCCCATTTATCTCTGCCTTTCCTGAATTGTGAATATATAACCAGTTGGACAGCTTTGGCTAGCTTCCTAGGTACACACTTTTTAAAAAAATCTAATCTGTAGGATCATCCTCTCAACAAAGTCAAAAAACACCACTTTTTTTTTAACTTCAGCAAAGTCAAAAAACTACTCCACTTTTGTAACTTTCAAGGTGTTTGCAATGATTTGTTTCTAACTCATTGGAAGGGCACCCTCTTGCTCCTGGAGGCTATAATGGCTGTTGTGCCATTTTCTCTGTGTCAAGAGCAGGTTGTTCTACCTTAAATTGTTGTCAGGGCAAAGTAATTCTATTTATTGGAATAAGAATTTAATCTGTTTGACAGAGATACATGACCATAGAAAAGATCGATCAACAAAAGTTTTTATTTTCATTGCTTTTGTATTTTTATTTCCTTTCTATTTCTACTAGATTTTTAAAAATATCGTGATTGAAAGAGAACTTCAAATGTACCCTCCTGATTCCACCAATGAAGAAAATGAGATTTTTCAATCTGCCTTTGCCATTTAGCAACAGTATGAAGACTTAAATTCTTGGCTTCTAATTCCTATGTCACCTGTCTGGTGGTACACACATCTTTTAGAGTCTGTGTGCTTTGTAAGACAGTATCAACTTGTACAGGAAGGATAATGTTTATAAAAGTGAATTCCAAATGGATTTAAGTTGCTTCCTGGCATCACTGATAACTAATGAATGTTTGGACTTCCAGGTAAAGGAAATACTCTTTGCACAATTATAAAAATAACTTGATTAAAGAGACTTCTGCATGTCACTTACTAAATAAGTTGATCAGACCACAGAAAAAGGGGAGCTTCATACACCTCAATTATCTGAAAATATACCAAATTTGAGCAAATTATCTTCAGACAGTAGTTTCTTAGTTTTTAAGGTTGGTACAGACTGATTAGGGTAGCCTTCTTTTGTGAAGCTGACAAATCTAAATATTTGAATCTTTTATGTCTGAGTATTCTCCATATAGTTGAAAACTGAACAGAAAGACAATTCTGGTCGTTAATTTTTTTAATTGCCAGTAAGGAGTTCTGTTACTTCATTTCATCTTTCAGGTAGGTCTCACTACTTTTGTGTCTATTCACATTATGACATGAACACAAGTTGTGTAATTTGGTTCATTAGCTGTATTTGTGTCTACAGCAACAAAGTTCAGATTCTCCATGGTGCAAAACCACACAATGCATTTTTGATGTTAACTTTCTGTCCCAAGAATGCCCTCATGTTTGCAAACAGAAATCATTTAAAAATTCGAGCAAGAATCGCATTCTCTGTGATACCAATCTCTGTGGGGAGAATTTTGAAAGCAAATATAATTTTAATATGCTTATGCATCTGGACATAAAATTCCATAACTGTGAGGCGCATAATGAGATGGTTCCTAAAGGCGAGTTAAAACTGCAGCACCAAGCAGAAATTTTTCATTTCCTGTAAGAGTTAATTAATAATGCCATTTGGCACAGTTAGATGTGCAGAAAATAGTACAATAATACAAGTGCTTTGCTTTCCTTTTGCTTTTAAAGGCTGTACAGGCTACTTTTAAATTGCTTCCTAGGAACATACCTTGTAGTAGAAGGCTCATGTGCTTGAAAACTAATTGAGATTATTGTGGTACTATTTTACCATACGCGGCTCATATAAAATATAACACAATGCCAGTTAATTGCAGTGAGGTTTTTGGGAGTGATTTTCCTGTGGTAGGTTTATAATCATATGACTAAGCTTATTTTCCTAACAGCATTCCCAGCCACCATTCAGTCCTTAGGTAATTCCAATTTGTAGAGAAACTCTAAGGTAATTAATGTACAGTTATAATCTGAAATAAAGTAGAAATATACAGCTTTATGTCTTCCTCTATCATGTTAAAGACAGATTTATTAGGAAATAAATTATACAACATGTAATTCATTGTTCAGTCTTTTAATACTTCTTTATTCTCTTGCTAACCTTAAACAATATTTTACAAAGTGTGATCCACAGATGACCTGCTGTTTAATAAGAATTCAGGCTTACCAGCTGATTTGAAGTAAAACTGCACATTCAAACTAGTTTAAGTAAAAATTCATGTTTTCTAACTATTTTTAAGTAAAGCAATTGTATTTAGGACTATTGAGAAAATTTTCATGTGAGAAAAACTGTTTTTTAAAAAAACACCATTGTGGTGAAGGTAATTTTAGAAAGGCTCAGGTACATTACCTAGTTTTAGATAAAACTTATATTCATTCTAATTTTTGTGAAAATTGCTATGTTGTAAGCATTAATTTTCTGTGTCTACTGAAAATGAAGATTACTAGACTGTAGCGACTGAGAAAGTGGGTCAGGAAGTAGAATCAGTGAACTGTAGTTTAGTTTCCTCAGGTGATTCTGATTTACACCAATGTCTGGGAAGTAATGATGCAGACACAGAATTTGAAATTCTTTCATGTTCAAGACTTTTTTTTCCTAAATTTCTTGTGCAATACGATGACTTCTGGGTGAGAGGGCGAGAGGTCATTGTCATTTTATTAATCATTTACATGATAGCAAGAATGGGCTTTTTCAGTGGTAGAATAAAAGAACAAAAAGGAGAGTATAAAGAACATGGGTACCTGAAACTAACTGAGGTTACTCAAGGGAGAAAGGGGCAGAGAGAGAGAGAGAGCGAGAACGAGCGAGCAATAAGTATACACTTGATAATTTTGAGTAGGGCAAATCCTATATTTCACAACTAAACATGCAGATTATCGGTTCATGAAATTTCTCTCTCAAGGCTATGCAGTCTCTTCTTGAATTTTCCAAGGAAAAAGTCCATTGATTATTGAATGTTACATGTGTGTTATGTAAATTACTTGGAATTAATGGTTCTACCTTTAGACTTAATAAATTTATAAAGAGCAATGATTTGTTGAGCTCCAATTATAAGCATAAATTTATGCTTCAGGTTATGGATTCTCAGATCTTCCTGTACATTGGAATTAACTGGACATGTGAACAACAACAACAAACCAAAAACAACTCTGCTATTGTCTTAGCCCAACTAATTAAGTCAGAATTTCTAGAGATGAGATACAGAACCTCCAGTAGAGATCATAATATATTGCCAATTTGAGTCCTTCTCTTCAGCACAGTGATCTTGACATTGATTTTTATTGCTTGTGCAAAGGAACTTGATCTTACAGACAGAGTTTGAATTTCTACATTAGTAAGCTTTTTTTCTAAACCAAGTTCTGTTTTCAGATACTTGATAAATTCTACTTACTGCCCACATAACCAGAGAGCAACACTATTTTCTCTAGAAGGAACCAATATTTATTAGTAGTACTTTCATAAATGATTTCATTTTTAATGTCATAATGTTATTTCATTTACGTCTCATTGAAAATGTGTAAAGTCAATAGTATCACATAATTTAAAAGAAAAATTGAAGATCAGAGAAATTAAAATTTTACTCCAAATAGTAAATATCATTTATTGAATAGCTATTATGTGCCAGGCACAGTGCTAACTGTTTTATACATTATCCCAAGATGAGATATTTATGATCATACCAGTGTTCTCGTGAAGATGTCCTGCAGAACCTGGGAGTATCAAGATGCTTTAGGAAAAAAGGGTTTGTGACCTAATAGGCTTGGAAAATGCTGAATTATATTCTGTCTTTTTGGAAATCCTTAGTGCAATAAATGCATGGAGATATCATGCAGTAAGGAATGTTTCTTGTGATGATCTATCAGTTATTAAACTACGAAAATCTTATTTGAAAAATGTTTGCCAGTGGAACCCATTTAAAAAAATACTCCTTCAAAAACAATTTTATATGCTAGAAATGATGTTCTAGTACTACATGCTGAGAAAACCAAACTCTGAGGAATTCAGTAATGTTCTTACTACAACTTAGAATTTAAGTTTGGCTGACTTAGAAAATTCTCCTCAGAGTCTGAAGTCTGTGATTCTATCTTACTGATATCTATTTCTCTCGTAGTGAACTTCAATTAAATTGTTGAAAGCATCAAATATAATTACATGCATAAAAACCTTTTGACAGACATAAAATAGTATGTAATTATAAAATCAAGTGATATACAGTCAAAAGTTGTATACAAATATTAATTTTTGCAAGGGGTCATTTTTTTCTCTGAATCTTCTAATTATACTTTTAAAAGATGATATCTGTAGAAAGGCAATTTTTGTTAGTCACTGTTAACGCTGATTGTCTATACATCATCAATCGCCCTGGAATACTTTAACATTTTGGTAGTATTTTGGGACATTAAATTGTCCTGAGACTAATAAAATGATGTAGTTCATAGTTTTTCTATATTGAATCAATGAAATATGAAACTAAGATGAATGTAATAATGTAATTATTTCAACAACTGATTCTATTGGTTATGAAAGCAGGAGTTCTAACCTGGGACAAACACTAAGTTTTTCTACTTCAATAACAGTAAATAACTATTAGTGCAATTTGCAGATATCTTCATAAAAGTACATAAAAAGGCTAAGAAGGAACCAGGACAATAGTCGACTTTCTTGAACATGTGTTACTGGAGAAATACAGGGTGGGCTGGAGAGACTGAAGATGAAAAAACTGGAGATCATTTAAAGCTAAGCAAAGAGAAAGCAATGCCCCCAAATCTCACAGACATCATGTCTCTGCTCCTGAGGAATGTGTTTTAGGGGACCATCTGCATATCCTAAGGTAATTTCATTAAGGAAACAAAACCAGCTGATCCCATATTGAGGGAAGATGAAAGACATCTTCAGTGCCCCTACTCATGTGAAGGGGAAACAAGCCCCGAGGGAGTAGCAGACATTCTCTGTCGCAACAAATTAAGCATGCAATGGGCTTTCTGTGTCACCAAGTTGAGTTAGTGTGGGGATTATTTACAGCACTTTGAATGCAGGTGGGAAATAAATCCACAGAGGTCTGTAACTAATACGTATGGAAATTCTTTCCTCTATTTTCTCTTCCTTGCCCTTCTCTCCAACACACTTGGAATGAATTAATAATGGTGATGGGTCCAGAGAAACAAGGGTGAATGTGGCAATGTGCAGAAAAGATTGCTCCAAGAACAATCACTCTACCCTGGGACAGTGGGAAGGAAAGACGTTCATCAGTGCAAAGAGTGAGGCCAAGTGTGAAGTAAACAGGAGATGCTATGAATTAGTTCATAGCTTAGACCTTTGTTTGGATCTTCAGGGAAATAACACATCGCTTAAAAAAAAATCACTGTTCCTTAGAATCTAGAATCTTAGAATCTACAGAAGATTGTTTAACTCTACAAGGAACTATTGTCTGAGAGCTGGACATCAGTGCATTTCTGCCCAGGAATCATTGTTAATGGTGCTGTGTGTCCCAGAGTAAAGGCTGAATTTAGCTAATGCTCTTCTGAATTGAAACTAGAAGTTTCAGGTTTAGTTTCTCTTTCTCTGGATCATGATTTTTGAATCTTTAAAATCTAAGACACCTTTGAGTCTTTGTGTAAATAATACATTTTAAATAGTGGAATCAATTTGAATTAAAAATTAACATTGTTATGGAGTTAGGTATGTACTTACTGAAAAGATAAGGGCTTTGGGTACTTTGAAAATGAGTGGATCTTCAGAAATGTGAGAAAAGGAGAAGGAAAGAGGAAGGGGAGAAATTCACAAAGATGAAAGTCCACAGATTTTAGCATTTTGTTTTCATGCTTTGCACGGTTGAAACTCTGAATCTCCTTTTTCATGAGGACGGAGTTGCTCATTTTTAATGCATGAAGATGGACCTAAGATGACTCTTTAGGACAGAGCAGATTTCTGTAAATACACATATGTAGGAGTTCCTTGAGGATGCCCCTACTTCTACATACAGTGTATATCAATTGCTAGTGCCTTGAATTCAAAGTCTAGAGAATATGAGTTTTGCTATCCTGGAGGGATAGGGAGTTGTGGTCATCTGTGCTTAGTGGAGACAGAGAATATCAACAACAGTAATTATCAGTTAACAATTTCTAATGGGCAAACCTTTTTTTTTTTAACTGATTACACAGTATGAACTGAGGACTGTGTCCGAATCCCTCTCTCCTCTCGAATTAATTTGCCACATTCTAAATCCGTAGATAAAGTGGTTCCAGAGGTGGAGTTGGTTGGATGGGTTTGCTTACATTGCAGTCCATAAAAGAAACAAAAAGCCTTGCATGCAAAAGAAATGAGAAAAATATAGGAAAATGAATAAATCAGAAGCAAGAATAAATGTTTAAATGAAAATTTAAATCAAATGAAGCTGGTAATTATGGAAAGCACATTAAAGCGTAATATACACAAGCTTTTATTTTTCGAATTAGTTGCATAAAACAAGATACCTCAAGAGCAAATACAAAGTTAAACCGAAGCAAATCAGCCCATTCTTCCTTTTAATTAAAGACAGTTTTCTAAAACAAGATCTAGGAAAAAGGTGCTCATTGTTCTCATGATTGCTTCTTACTTCTCGGCAAGATTTTCAGATGAAATCATGTTATAATAAATCACCTACAGATTTTAGGTGCGTCAGGAAGTCTTCCACTTAAAGCAAGTGCATCTAGTATCAGATTATTAGTCAGAATCAACTACAGAATTTGCAGGGCCCAATGCAAAATGAAAAAAATGAGACCCTTTGTTAAAAATTATTAAGGATTTCAAGATGTGACAACCTAGCATGGAATAGGCTGTATTATTAGTAATTACATTCCAATAGTCTCTTAAAGTTAAATGGATGCCCCAACGCTCTGCAATGACCATGAGCTTTGTATTTTGCTTGTCCTAATCTGCTTATGAAAAAATTCTTTTTACAATCATCTTTTCAGAAAAGTGAACTTCCTACTATGAGTTATTTTAAAAATAAAAATAATAGGCACAATGGTTGACTATTGAAATTGTCCTATCCTATAATTCTAAATACAAGTTTGAAAAACAAAGCCTCAAAAATATTTTGTTATCACTTCTGTATTATTTATCATATTTTTGGTAAAAATTTTTGGGCAAATTATTCTTTTACCAATGATATTTTGAAAAAGGAAATGCTCAATTTCAAAATACTACATTTATATGCTTATATAAATAGTTTTGCCTTAACACATCTGTTTTAAAATATATACTTTAGGACCTGTAACATTCTGCTCAACTATCTTTTTATATCTTTTCCAATTTTGGATTTATTGCTTCCTTGCTCTATCTAAGGGTTTCCATCTTATGAGCAAATAACTGTTCAAAGAAATTAACTGGGTTTGGTATTTCTGCACTGTCACTCCAAATAGCACTAATTGGATTTAGTGTATAAGGCTCTTCCTTCTTCTCATTAATAAATAATGGAGCTGCAGTGCCAGCAGCACCTGGCAGGGATTCAATAGCTCTTTGCTCTAACTCAAAAATGGCTCTTCTGGGCATCTAATTCAATAGACTGTTACAAAAAAAAAAAAATCCTTAAAAACCCCAAACTTAGAGAGTGCAAACTAAAAACTACCCAGGCCTAGAAAGAGATGACTCACCTGTTCAACATCGTTGTTCTTCCGTGATTTGTATATAAATTCTCCAATGGCTACAAACACAGAAAGGACCAGTCCGGCAGCCAGAACAATAAAGATGCCCCCAATATTTTCCACTCCCAGAGCACTGGCTTCTTTGTTGTCTTCCTCAGGGCAGCCGTTCCCTCGCCACCATTTCTCTTTCATCATATGCAGCTTCCCTTCTTCTTGTAGTTGAAGAATAGCAATTGTGATTTTATCCCGGTAAGGAGAGCCTGTAAGTGAGATAGTTTGGATGTTGGTCCCCAAGAGGTTGAAGAAGATGTTGAAAAGCATGTCTTAGTGGTAACTGCTTTGTGGCTGATGTGAAATTACCTACCCACAAATGGACTAGTAAAAGGGCAGGCAGGTTCAGTCCTACATTTTGAAGACTGTAAATGATTGGAAAGGGAATAGCTGATAGGTTAGCCCTGGCCACACTGTTTTCTCCTTTTAAATAAGAAAAAGCTAAGTATGTTTCCAGTAAGTTCTTTATGAGTCTTTCCCCTCATGACAACGAAATTTCTTGGTGTGTTTAGATTCTACTTTTTCTAGGCTCTTAGTTGTCTCATACTGTGACTGAGTCTGGCTAGATGTCCACCCATGCCATTTCATAGCCTTCGTGGGGAGTAACAAGACTTTTCCCAGTGTCACTTTCAGTACTCATGTGACTGATTGTTAACTAATGGGAGATAGTGATCTATGACATTTCTGGTCCTGTGTCATAAATTTTCCTAGCGTGCTCTTCTATTGTACTCCCCCTTTTTCCTAAGGTACATCAAGAAGGAAAGGATTTCAGTCTCTAGAGATGGTACAACCACAAAGTTAAAGGAAACTGAATTCCAGGATGACTGCATGAAGTAGATCCTCTTTTTCAATCCACATTGGATTACGAAACAAACATTTACTGTGTAAGCCATTGAGTATTTGTAGGCATTGGTTTTAGTTGTCAGTCCATTCTGACTAATGCATCAATTAAAATATATTTAAGAGTTGATTTTGAAGAATTCAAAGGTCCTACAAAATTTATTTAGGTTTGAAAAATTTGCAAGGAACTTACTGATATTATTTATACTTTAAATAATGCCACTGAACTTTTAATTATGTGAGAGTTAGGAGGAACCAGCAACTATCCATAGACAAAGATTCTCTGTACTGAATTCCTTATGCTAATCAATGCAAAGAAAGTGAAAAAGCAAGGTATTTTTAAATTTAGTTTCTCTTTGGATGCTAAGAGTTTTTGTTATTATTTATAGTAGTTATATATATTCCTTAGGAAAGTCTTACATCTTGGTTTTCTCTGCAGACTTTAAAGTCTTCCTTGGTAGAAGAAAACTGAGAAATTATGCATGTTAGGACCAGAAGAATATTACTAAGCCAGAAAAAGAAATGAATGAAACCCAGACATCTACAACAAAATAGATGGAACTGGAGATCATTATGCTAAGTGAAATAAGCCAGACCAAGAGAGACATATTATATGTTTTTGTCTTATTTGTGGAAGTTAATACATAGAGAAAATACGAAAATTGTGTGGTTGTCCTGTCTTCTGGTATTTTACTCACAAACACTGCTTCAGGGAACCACACCAGGAAATGACAATGCACCCTTCCTTCATTGTCCTGAATCCCTGCTCTGTGAGACTAATATCTCCATTCTCATGGGAAGATAGTACACATGCATGTATATGTCTACATTTGAAGTGAATGTGGCAAAAATGATTTTAAAAAAGTAAAATTTGCAAAAATTTAAGAAAAGAAATCTTAGGAATCATGTAATCCTGTCCACTTGTTTAAGAATTGAAGACGTTTAGGAACTGAAAGTATAGATGAAACTAAATTGCTGGTTGGGCTAAGAATTAAACTCACTTCCCTTTATCTCCTATTTTTTCCTGTTATTGTGGTGAAAGTGCTGGCATACCACCCCTCTTTCTCCACATACAACTTAGTTTCTATGGGATGGTTTAAGTTACAGAAGCAGATTTTTTTTCTTCCTATGACATCTCAAAATAGTTTTATCACTCAAAATCAAATTTAACAGAATAGCAAAATATTTTGGAGGGAGATTATAGGTTATCAATTAAGAGAATGGATTTTGACTGAGAAAATGGGTCTTGAAAGTCAAATAAAAGATATTGACTGTTTGCTTAAATAGCCCCAGAATAATGGCTACTGTCAACATTAGCAAGCATTTAACATATCCATAGCGTGTGAGCAATCAAGTGAAGCAGGAGTGCTTTGCTTTAATGTATGTGAAAATGATTTGGAGAGGCGGTGGTTGCAGCAGTAACCCCAGCAGTGTACACAGTGGGCACACTATAAATGTTGACTAATGCCCTCCTTTCTGCCTTCAGGCTGCACAATACTTAAAACATTTCAGACAGATGGAGATCCAATCTCTGTTTAAAGTTGATCTCCAAGGAAGGTAATTTCCAGCTTTCCACTAACCTGTTTAAGCCTTAACTGCTCTCATTTTCTTGAAGTTTTATGTTAAATCCCTCAGGAGACACATTTCCAGAACTTCTGTCCTGAGAGCCTCTAAGAAGCAAAGTCTTCAGTTGTGTCCTGTGACTGATTAAGTCTTCATTCATGGGGTAGAATCTGAGCCTGAGGGACTTAGCCAGAGCAAGACCCAAAGTATGTGAAGAATGTTTTTATATCTGCACATACTTTGACTTCCATCATGGTTGTTCTTGCTTAAATGGACTGAATAACATTGGAATTGATTTATGACAAGTCACTTGAAAAATATACACGAATACACACAGAGCTTACTGATCTTTTCTTATAGCAACTGATCTTTCTTAAAGAGTCAATTTGTCATAAAAAACATCTCACAAACTTATCCAACAGCTGCAGTCTCAATGGATGTACTCTCTGAGATCTGCCATCTGTTCCAATTATTCTTTCATTGTTTTTGCTTTAAAAGCATGACAGGTTTATAACTGCTGTGAAAAATTCCTGGAGTATATTTCTTTACACCTAGGGAAGGAGGAAGGCTTTTCAACTTTTGAACTTATTATGGATGAGGTAGACAAAAATGAGACGGAGGAGGTAAATTCAAATCACTCCATCACCAGTCCTCCAATCACATGCTACTCGCCGTGAGTTAAATTTGAGTTACATTCCATTCTGTAGAAGGAATACTAATTAAACAATGATATGTCAAAGTGCAAATGTTCTCAAGAGGAGTGATACACTTCTATCACTATTACCGCACAGAAAATTCCACAACAAAGAGGAATATTGAAAGGCGGTGGATGAATAGATTTAGCCTAGCATTTAAGATTTCAGTAAGACATGTGTGTATCACATAAGGGTGCCTGGGTCCATTTCCTGGCTGTGGCTCCTTACTCCAGCTTCTTGCTAATGCAGATCCTAGGAGTCAGTAATGATGGCTCAAATAATTGGGTCCCTGTCACTGGGATGAGAGACTTGAATTGCATCCTTGAAATCAAACCTGGTTTTGTCTTCAGACCAGCCCTGACCATTGAGGCCATTTGGGGAGTGAACCAAAGGATGTGATGTGGACTCTTGTGTGTGTCTTTGTCTTGCTTCATTTTCTGCTTCTGATTCTCAAATAAAACATAATCAAAAAAAAAAAAAAAAGAAAAGAAAGAGAGAGAGAGAAAGAAAGAAAGAAAGAGAGAAAGAAAAAGTAGGTAAGGTGGATGGGGTTATAGAATGGAATGATAAAGATGCAGATTTTTTTTATTTTTAATTTTAATTTTTTAGATTTATTTATTTGAAAGACAGTGTTACAGAGAGAGGTAGAGACAGAGAGAAAGAGAGAGAGAGAGGTCTACCATATGCTGGTTCACTCCACAAATGGCCGCAATGGCCGGAGTTGAGCTTATCTTAAGCCAGGAGTTTCCTCTAAGTCTCCCATGTGGGCACAGGGGAACAAGCCCTTGGGCCATCCTCTGCTGCTTTTCCAGGTACATTAGCAGGGAGCCGTATCAGAAATGGAGCAGCTAGGACTTGAACCAGTGCCCACATGGGATGCAGGTGCCACAGCCGGGGGCTTTAACTCGTTGTGCCACAGCACCAGCCCCTTTATTTTATAATTTAATTAAAATGGTCTTACTAGGGAACTACATTTAATCCTCTAAGAAGATGCAAAATAAATTGCAATCAATCCTGTGGTCTTGATTCTGCAAAGATTCAGGCAAAGGCATCTATCCTGGTGTTTTTGTCTGACTTGTGGCCTCATTTACTTAAAATCAGCAGTGATGAGATAGAAAATAATAGTATCTGCCTTACTTCTCCCACTGCTATTAGGAGAGGTAAAGTTTGGTTGGGGGTGCGGGTTAAGCTGACGCCTGCAGTGCTGGCATGCCATATGGGTGCCGGTTGGAGTCCCAGTTGCTCTGCTTCCTATGCAGCTCTCTGCTGTGGCCTGGGAAATCAGTGGAAGATGGCCCAAGTCCTTGGGCCCTTGCACCTGCGTGGGAAACCCAGAATAAGTTCCTGGCTCTGGGCTTCGGATTGGCGCAGCTCCAGCCATTGCGGCCATCTGGGGAGTGAACCAGAGGATGGAAGACCTCTCTCTCTCTCTATGCCTCTGCTTCTCTTTCTGTGAACCTATGCTCTTCAAATTAAAAAAAAAATGTTTTAAAAGAAAGTTTGGTTCTAAAAGAGGCACTAAAGAGGTTTCTTTAGTGCCTAATATCCCTATCCCACTGAGTCTCCAGCAGAACACATTGACTAAACCATAGAAGAGCTTAGCAGTTGGAGAAAAATAGACACTTCAGTGTCTGTATTGGTACTTTCACCAGGAAAAGTTACCAGATACAAAGGAATAAGAAGGTATTTAAGCATGCCCTAGACTAATCATTTTACAGAAGATTTATTTAGAGGGTATATAGGATGTGAATAATAATAATAATAATAATAAAGCTAATACCAGGTGGGTAGCAGGGAAACAAATTGGTTGTAAATTAAATCTAAAATTTGAAGAGAGTTTGCCTTTATCTGGTGAACTGAATTAGAGTTTTTACAGTTAATATAGTTAAATATGAAATTGAGTAAAAGAGACATGGTGCCTTTTTAAAATTGAATTTATCACCAAATTAAAATGTGAGGACAGATTGCCTAAAATCTAAATTCATATTTTACTTGAACACTGGAATTATCTGTCAACTTTGTGTTCAAATTGTCACATTGCTACAACTGACTGACTTGGAAGGTAGCTACCTCCTTACATAACAGTGAGCTCTCTACTGTGCTGGAGCTGCACCACTTCCCTCCTGCCTCCTTGAACAAACAAGTTTTATTCACTGTTGTTATCTGCTTGACCTTTGTAAGCATTGTGACGATTGCCTAATTTTGAACATCAAACTGGATAATCCCTTTCAAAAACGAATAATAGCACAAACGAGCAAATCAAATCTACCTTGGACTCTTAATCATCTGGTTGGCCTGTGACTATTATTTCTGCTTATTCAATCATGCCCAGTGGTCTAGATGACCCCTGCTTTGGAAAGCTGATAAACAAATTATCAATGGCTCACTTCAGAGGAGCAGGTTACCATCACACAGATTTTTTTATTATACTTTTCTATAGATAAGGAGTCAGAAGAGAGGGAATTGTCTAAGGAGAGAGAATTAGTAATTTCCCCTTGAATATAGGAGAATATTCTATTCATATTTATTACTGTCATGCAAAAAGACACCACTATATGGCTGTGTAGTTCTACAAGGCAATAATATCTTTAGAGAGAACAGTGCTACAGAACAAATAATAGAAATATTTCAAGGTTTTAGGTTGTAAGTTAGCATTGATTGAATCTAGCAGCTTGCCTGAGCAATTTATAATTTAATCTTCGTCCTTTATCTTTTGGCAGCTATAACCATCCTTTTTCATCTGCTGACATGAAACATTAGCCCTCTAACTTTTGTCATGTACACACAGAATTAATTTCCTTATATTCTAATATAATTTCATAGAGACCTATGAGGGTACTTCAAAAAGTTCATGGGAAATGGAATTAAAAGATACGTTTGTTTTGGTGCAAGGAAAAGGAAATATAGGTTGGACATTTAGTGCATTGGTTAAGATGCTGTTTGGAGTGCCTGTATATTATATCAGGGTGCCTGGGTTTGAGTCCCAGCTCAATTTCATGTTCCTGCTAATATGCACCCTAGAAAGTAGTACTTGAGTCTCTTTTACCCATGTTGGATACATGAATTGAGTTCTGGGCTCTTGGCTTCAGCTCCAGCAATAATGGGCATTTGGAAAGTAAACACCAAAAAAGAAGATTCCGCCCCCACCCCTCGCTATCACTCTGTGTGTGTGTGTGTCTGTCTGTCTGTATGTCTGTCTGTCCCTCCCTCTCTCCTTGTCTTCCAAATAAATGAATTTTAAAAATAAGATCCATGTATAGCTTTTTAATAACACACGTTTTTCGAGATCTTTTTAAAGATAGCTTGTATGTCAAGATTAAAGAAAATAGTGTGAAACTGATTAATTAGGGAGATAGTCTCTTTAAGATACTTGTTTGGTATAAAATAATAGAAATATATGTTTTCTTAAATAGTTACATGGCAGAATAACTTGAAGGAAACACAGGTTGAAAATTTATTGGACTAAATATCTGGGAATATTCAATTTAGATCATGCCTCTGATCTATATGGGCATTCCATTTACTTACAGGTCCACACAAGGCATTGGGTATCTTCTCAGATTGTCCAACAGAGAAATTTCAGCCCATTCTCTTCCATAGTTGCAATAAACATCTCAGTCTTGGCTAATGCCTTGACCCTCTTACCGATAGGTGTTCCTACTCCGTAACCTTTGGAGTCAATGAGGCCCCCGATCTGAGTGAGGTTGCAGTTTCTCTGTGTAACATACTCGATGCTAGTGGACTCCATCAGCAAAGCATAGTCCGTGGTGAGCACTCTCTGTATGCCCTCGTCATTGTTTTTTACCAGGGCTGTCTGCTGTCGGCTGCTCATAAATGCCCACATCTTCTCATAAGTGGATATTTTCGATTTCTGCAGGGAAAGAAAGCACACCCACCAGCAGAAGAGTGCTGAAAAAAAAAAAAACATGGCCTAGAGCTATTCAAAAACCCAGTGGTTCCATTAATATAAGGAATATTCTTTCTTAGCATTAAAGGAACCAAGATGAATGCTCTTTGGACTTCCATTTGGTGTCTGATAAACAGCCCAGTTCACTACAGGAAAGAACTTGGAGGCATTAAGGCAGCTATGGAGAAAAAGGGAATTTTGACAGATTGGTGTAAGACATTGGCTCAAGTCCTACTCTTGCTTTCAAGTTAGGGAAAACAATGTTGGTACCAATAATAGCACTTGTTTCATGAAATGAGGCCTCTTCAGAATATGGGCCATGGGCCATAAGGTGGTTTGCTCCCTAACAGATTCCCTCATTTACTTCATTTACCTCCAACTGCTCAACTTCAGCAGGCTTTGTTCTACTGTTTTCAGGTATGTAAATTTCAATACCTGTCCAACATTCCTTTGCTGGGACAGTCCTGGGATAAATTGTTTGCTTTCTCTGTTTTATTTGTGAAGGAACTGTCATTTACTTCTATCTTTTCCAGAAAGAGCAGAATGTAAATGTTTTTTTCAAATGAATATTCAGATCAGAAAACTCTTCATACTGTATTTATATACCTCTAATGTATACAATTTTTCATTGCAATTATATTTTAGGTAATTAAGACATGCATATTTCATTCCACTTCAAAATGTTCTGATTTTGTCATTTACTTTATTCTTCAGCTCTTTGATAGATTTAATATTAAACTATATATAATATATAGCACAAGCATTGATACATACACACCAATACATCAGCATGTTACTTTCTTTTTAAAAGTACCATTTTTGTATTGCTTAGAGATGAATTTTCCATTCCTTTGAATAGTGATATTTGATTAAACCTATTGCACTGTAGTCTGTAATTTCCATACTGTCCCTTTTTCCTCCTGAATTTGTCTTCCTTTGCATCAGTAACCCTTGCCCCTGTCCATTTAAAAGATGAATGATATAGTGGGAGTTACTGATATTTTCTAGCCATTCCAGTTCTCACACGTTTATATGGTTTTCACACATGTTAGAGAGATTTCTTGGCAGGCACAGAATACCTCCTCTCAGGAGTGCAGAGAAGCTTAAAACACGATTTTGTGCCATAAGCAGTAATTGGAATACCTGTAGAATCAACTCATAGCATGATAATTCATGCTCAAGTGTTCCTGGGGACTCACTCAATTCCTAGCTCTATTTAAGACCTGGACTAATAGTGTGGGCTTTATGAGTTACAGAAGGACAGATGGCTTTATTTTGGATTGTTAGGCATTTGAAAAGGCCCCTGAGAAAAGTCTTGTGAGACAAATAACAATTCAATAAACAGTACCTTACAAATATTGGCTTTTTAGGGGACCTATTGTGTTGTGAGTAGGATCCTGGGAGTTAGTTCTCAACCCCAGAGACAACTGCAAATGGGAACTCATGTCTCCATATCAAATGTATATTTGTGGGTGGGGACAAGTCAGAATCAATGCCTCACTTAATGTGTGATTTCAGCCTTGCAGTTTGATCATGCTAAATTCATCATGAAGAGCTATCCATACAGGTGCAGGGAGGTCAGCCTGCCTTTTGGCTGTAAATGCACAACGGGAAAAATTATTTCTCCATCAGGAAACTACCTTAAGGGAAAATAATTTTCTTTGAAGTATGAAATTTTAAAGCTGTCAGAGACTGTAGAGATCAGCTCATTCAAACTGCTGCTTTCACAGAGGAGGACATTTTGGTACAGAGGGTTTGGAAACTTCAAAGAGTCACAAAGGAAGTTAATACCAGAGTTCACCTTGGAACTTGGACCCCTAATGTCTAGTTTAATTGTCTTTGCACCGGCACTGCAGCTCACTAGGTTAATTCTCTGCCTGCGGCACTGGTACCCCGGGTTCTAGTTCTGGCTGGGGCACCAGATTCTGTCCCTGTTGCTCCTCTTTCAGTACAGCTCTCTGCTGTGGCCCGGGAAAGCAGTGGAGGATGGCCCAAGTGCTTGGGCCCTGCACCCGCATGGGAGACCAGAAGGAAGCACTTGGCTCCTGGCTTTGGATCGGCGCAGCGTGCCAGCTATAGCAGCCATTTGTGGGGTGAACCAATGGAAGGAAGCCCTTTCTCTCTTTTCTCCCTCTTTCTAACTCTGCCTGCCACCCCCCCCCCCAAAAAAAAAAAAAAAAGAAATCGTCTTTGCACCATGCCTTGCTAATTTGGTGGAGGTGGATATCTAAATTGCCAAAATTTTTTCAAGAATGATTTAAATTTTTTTTATCTATATGTAAAATACAGCTTATATTCATGGAGTGATATTATTCCCTGAGACAGCTTGCTGGTTGGACTCATATTAATAAAAAATAGGGGGTAGTCTCCACATAAAAAATTCTATGAAACATGTTTTTCACCATATTTACCTTTTATTGAAATGAATGTGGTAAGTACAAGGGTCCTTCAAGAAGGTTATGGGAAGTGAAATGAAAAAAATATATTTATTTTGATGAAAAAGCATTTTCAAGTTCATGGATTTTTCCATAATATTCATTCCATGAACTTTTTGAAGATCTCTCATCATTTAAAAATATGGAGTTTTGATCTATGGACATAATGGACAAACCTATATAGTCAGTTCATCAGTAGTAAATAGATAATGTGTGGGAAATCCTTCCAGGCATCAAAGCAACTGAAGGACATAGAAGGGATATGAAGTGTATTGAGTTGTTATCAAGTCCCTATCACTTGTGGTCTAAAATTATCTGTGATGAAGGAATTGATATTTTCAATTCTTGGAAGACATAGCTATGAGTATGGCACAAGACTGGCTTGTAGCTCATATCTCCTATGACTCACCATGTGGTGCCAACTGGATTCAAAGTGGTCTAAACTCAAGGAGAAGAGAGATCATGCATGTGGACCACCAGAGAATTCATTAGCTGCGTCATCTTTAAACTCCTCCACACAGCTTTATTGTGACCTTTGCATCGCCTGGTAAGCGCATCCCCAGAGCCAGCCTGTTCCTCACTCTGAGGAGCACTGTTCCAGGCAGTGGATGTCATGGTTTCAAATACAACAACATCACTTCTTCCTTCTCTGAGTGGAATATTAGCAAGAAGGGCAGGTCATTATCTCTGTAGGAAAACTGTTACTCGGTAGGGAGTTGGTGAAGTTAAGGGTAGAGGAACTCTGATCAATTCCTTTGATCCCTTGCTGTTCTTGCTACAGCCTAATAATGGCAAACATAATGGAATCAGAAGGACACCCTTCTGCTTTCATGTTAAGTTCTCTGTCATGTAAAAGTTTGCAGTCATGGAATTCATCATGTTTAGAATTATAGGTACTAAAATGCTGGGGAGCTTAGATTTCACAGAAAGACAGAAGACGTGGCTTAGAAACAACTATTTTTTAAATAGTTAGAAATATCTGTAGATAATTCAAGCACCTTAGGATATAGTACATTTTTTTTTACCACTGGGAAACTACAAGAACTTGATGCTTCAGAGAGTTTTACTCAATGTTTCTTCAAATCCCAGATTCTACACTGTAGACCAACCCCTTCAAATTTCTTATGCAGGTCTCAAGGTTGGGAACACTAAGAATACTCAGGTCACAGGGCTAGTGAAGAGCCAGTGGAAAATGCAAGGCTATTTCTCCTTACTCCTGAGCTCTGTCCACAATCATGCCATGCTCAGTGCTATTTATTTTCTGTTACATCAAAGACTAGTGACTGTGAGTAGCTAAACTGGAATTACTCTTTTTGTCATTTTTTTCATCTTGAAGACATGCATCTTAATAATTCTTGAAAAATTAGATTCTATACTTCACGGAAAACCATCATAAAAATTAAAAGACCAGGAAGATTGTTTGAATGGCAGTCCGGGTGATTTTGCATTTCTGAATCCTCGATAGTCTCAGTGATCCTGTTAAATCACTGTAAATAATATGCAGTATACTGCAAAGAACAGAAATAGTGATTGCTTCACATTTCACTGCATATGTCAAAAGTTAGAGTATCTGTAATGTTCTCTGAGCTTCTTAGCAGAAGTTGGCAAAATTGAAAACTCCATTTATCAAATCTGCAATCATCCAGGATTTTAGAATTTAATCTCCAAAGGCATCAGGTGTAGATAAATTCATTTTGTCTGTTTAAACCTGATTATGAGATTATTCTGATGCTGATTAAACATTGTTGGCAAAGAATAAACATTTTTAATGTGTATTCTGTTATACCAGAGTGTTAACTATATTAACATTGGATGTCATTATTTATTTATTTTTCCTCTATTGCACATGCAAGTTAAATCCTCGCTGAGGAATTTACAATACATCTATAGGTAGTTGAAAATGACTTATTGAAAATAATAATGAATAATGGCCAGAAAATGCAGTGCTTACCATTTACTAAACAATATTCTATACACTTTACATGTACCAATTCATTGAATCTCAACAACGATCACAAAGTCCCATGACTGTTTTGCAGGTGAGAAAATAGGGTATCATATGAGGCAATGATGAAGCCAGGGTTTGATTCAGCTTCAAGATGTGTGTTCTTAACCAGCAGTGAGTCCGCTGTGTGTTTCAATATAGATAACATCAAACTCATGGCTTGATTAATGCTTCAACAGAATTAAATTTTCTAATGACATAATTGAAGTGGCAGCTCTAGTATCTTTATATTATAGTTAGAGCAATTGAAACTCCTGCATTAATCACACATGTATGGAACATTATTTACACGACTTCTAAAGCTTTAGACAAAAATTTAAACAGTGTTTTAGGAAGTGAAAGAGAATCTAGAGGAAAGTGTGAATATTGCTTGTATTTTTTCTTCTCCTTTAATAATAGTTTTACTTTTACTGAGTTCCATTATATTGCTGCTACAAAATGTAAAGTATTTATAAACTCTGGAGTGTAGTACGGTCTTAAGATTGATTGAACCTCCATTTTAAAGAAATATTCTTCCGGTGTTT